GTCCATGTCCTGCTGTTCAGTCAGGAGTGCGGCGCATAGCGCGGCTTCTGAGAGAATTCCTCGCTGTCGGAGTAGCGCTTTGCAGGGCTTCCACTCTGGCCCGAGTCATTGAAGGACTATGTTGAGGAAGATCTCTTCCGAGATTGCGCTCCCATGCTTCGTGATCTGGTCACGGATATTTCGACAGCGGTTAATATAAGAGTTCGCTTTCTCCTCGTGCCCCATCTTTGTCTCCATGAGTTGCTGCAGGAGCCTGCTGGCGGTAACCGAATCCTTCGGCTGATAGACCTCAATGGGGTGCTTCCAGGCTTCCAAGGCTGGAGCGACGCTCTCTTTGTAGGAGCGAATGCTAAGTTGTTCCGCAGGCGTCATGTTGCGTAGCAGCACACTGTATGCCATGAGGGACTCGCTGTAGTAATGAGCCCTAGCGTCCTCGGTGTTTTCCACCAGTTTAGAGTAGGAGTCGTCGAAGTAATGGTAGATCTGCGCTGTCTGTAGGAGGAGCTCAAGCTCGAAACTCCATGTATAGAAATCCTTGCCGTCAAATGCGGCAGTAGTCTTGATCTTTGAGACGCTGAGAAAGCGTGCTTGCGCAGAATGTCAGAATCCCAACCACTAGACCATTGGGATAAAAGGGCTTGTTAAGTAGCGGGTCAGTGCGCCCATAACCCCCCAGGCCAACAAGCCTGTAACCCTTCCCTAGGATCAATCGGGGATCACCAGTAGACCTCTGACACCCCCCCGCACTGGGATGCCCGAAGTGCACACACTGGGATTCGAACCCGAGACCTTCGCTCTGATACCATGTCAGAATCTCAACCACTAGACCATTGGGATAAAAGGGCTTGTTAAGTAGCGGGTCAGTGCGCCCATAACCCCCCAGGCCAACAAGCCTGTAACCCTTCCCTAGGATCAATCGGGGATCAGCAGTGGACCTCTGACACAGAATTGATGACTTCATCACTTGGACGGGGGGCAGTCGTTGTTGATTTGTCTGTGTCGAGGGAGAAGGTGTGCGCGGCGGTATCGCGGCTTTTCGTAGCCGGTAGTCCAGGTTGAGCTGGTTAGGAAGAGGTTCCCGCATCGCCTTTGCGCAGATCCTGGAGTTCTTTCTCCATAGTAGAGAGTCGAGCGAATAACTGCTCGAGTGCGGCAGTGCCGATCGTAGTTGTCGTCTCATTTGTCGCAGCCGGGTTGGTTTGTCCTTCAGCCGTTAGATTTGCTTGGCCTCCGGATCTTCCGGCCATCTTGGTCTTGGAGCGTGTGCCGCTCGCCAGATCTAGGTTGGGCGAATTTTACGGAAGTGTTGTCGCGAAGAATCCCTGAGTACACTGAACGAAATAATTGTCCACGTGTTCATGTTTCAAGACATGAACGGGCATTAGTGGCCATGGTGATAACTCGACCAAATGAGGTTAAAGCCCGAAGGGTTGTACATCTAAACAAGCTGCATGTTGGCCATAAACTCGGTTAAACAATCAGCGAGAATAGAAATAAGCAAATACTAGCATAAGGACAGTTTTTTACAATTACAGTCACACATTCAAAAGAAGCAGAATCTAGTACTTCGTCCAGCGACCCTTGGCCTTGAGCACAGCCCGTACACGCCTAGGCATGCTGTCGATCAGCTCACTGCACCAAGCCGCAGGGATTTTCTCCCATTCCACTTGTACTCTGTCCCATAGCTCGAGAATGCCTGCAGGGGGGCGGGGGTAAGCAAGCAACTGCTTCTTCAAGTAAACCCACAGATGTTCTATAGGGTTGAGGTCCGGACTAGATGTTGGCCATGGGAGCACAGAGTACGGCTGCTCGGCTAGGTAAGTTTTGACCATCTTGCATGTATGCTTCGGGTCATTGTCATGCTGGAACACAACGGTCTTGGGATCCAACTCGTAATGCTCAATAGTCTGCTGCTGCTCGTCTTGCAGGATTGAACGGTACAACTCGCCGTTCATTCTTCCCTCTATCTTGCACATGAAACCCGCGCCGTTGTATGTCATGCACCCCCAAATCATGATGGAGCCGCCGCCATGTTTGACGGTCTGTTTCACATGGTGCGGCTCCATGTGACAATTCTCCATAATCCAGGCCCAACTACAGCCGTCGCTACTAAACCGGCAGATCTTCGTTTCGTCGCTCCAAACCACGCGTTTCCACTCGTCGATCGTCCAGTGCTGATGGTCCTTGGCCCACTGTCTGCGGTCCTTGACATTTTTCGCGGATAATCTAGGCTTCGACGGCTTTTCTATCGCCCTAACTCTGTGCCGCTTGAGAGTGTTTCGCACGGTGGCGCCCGTGACACTGATGCCGTGCGAAGAGGATATCATTCCCGCTGCGGCCTCGGCGGATTTCGATTCACCCGACACTATCGACCTTATAACTATCCTCGCGATTTGCTCTGGTAACTTGCGCGGCCGACCAGGTTTCGCCGGGGACGGCACTAGATCATCGAACGTTTTCGGACCGAGGTGGCGGAGGACCTCATCATAGACGACAGACTTTGAAACTCCCAACTCCTTCGCGATTTGGCGGTAACTACGCCCCTCCGCAATTCGCTGCATGATGCGCTTCTGTTTCTCATCGCTAAGGCGCTTCATGCTGCGGGGGTGTTAGCGCTACTTGTAGATCGTAGTATCCGCCCGTAATATCCTCTGTACCTAACTAGTCTAGATCTAACAGCGCACGAAATAAGGCGCGGGACATTTCAGAAAGATTTGTCCGTGTGGTGTGTCGAGAGGGAAGAGCTGACTCGTTTACGCCTGAGGTTTTTTTGGGCCTATAGGTAGCCTACACAAACTCGTAATAGTCAATCGCGAACCCTGTATGCAATATGTTTATCACAAAACTTGTTTAGGGTACAATTGGGTGCAAGTTATCGTACATTTCGAATGCATAAGGACAATAATTTCGTTTAGTGTAGCTCTCATACCATGCTACAATCCCAAATGGGACTTAGCGAAGGATCGCTCAGAGTTGATCGCAGAGTAGTATTGCAGCGGAAGTTTGAATATCAGGTCGGAGTGAATGTAAATGACTGAGTTGATAATAACATGCATACATCGAGTTTATATAAGAATACAAAGGAATGCGAAAGGACCTAGACTAGCCATGTACTCTAAGGGGTACATTCCCTTATTACAGCCAATTCAAAACCGTGCGGCGCGGGAACCCGTTTCAAACCTGTTCCCGCTCTTTTCATTTCAAATGTTTCTGCCTGCATCGGCCTTGGTCAGACGGTTGCTGCGTCGCTTCGACTCTTCTGACTCCTCGACTTCGATCTCGGTAGAGTCGGCTCGTGTAGCATACAGGAATGCATTCTTATGCAACTTCACATCGTAACATCTCTATTGTGGATTCCGGTATAATGAACTTTGCAGGAAAGAACAAGGTTTATAGTGGTTAGATACGCTTTGGCATGGTTCAATTAGCCAAGTCGAGTAAAACATGGTCAGCTTGCTTGTTCCGCACGATTCAATGTAGCCAAGCGAGGGTGTACGGCACTTTCACGGCGTAGAGCGTCACTGAACCACGAATGCAAGATTTTCACAATAACCACCCATTCTTTTCATTCCCATGTTCCTGCGTCTGCCCTGGGCGCCGCTTAGCTTCAGCACTCCCACGCCACTGCGCAAACCAGTAGCAGCAGCAGCAGCAGCTTTCAGGCCTCTCACAATGTCACAGGGCAAGTCGGAGTGGCCCGAGCTTGTGGGCTTGCGCGGGGAGGAGGCGAAGCAGAGAATCGAGGCAGAGGGCGGTGGTCTCAATGTTCAGGTTGTGGGGCACAATCAACCGACGACGCGCGACTATCGCCTGGACCGCGTGCGCGTTTTCGTGGACGAACAGGGACTGGTGATTAGGGCTCCGCGCACTGGGTGACAGGCGCGAACGGCATAATATGTCCGCGCACTGGGTGACAGACGTTCCTGTGACGAAATTTACGCAGAGTCTGTTTGGGGCTGGCGCCCGTTAGAGCTGGTCTTTGAGGGCAACTGCCTGTCAGGTTTCCATTGAAGTATGTGAGCCTGTCGAACGAACTGTGTTAATTTCCGTTTTTTTTGTTTCCTCACTTCCTTTCGTCCTCTCCTTTCACCTTCATCTTTCCCTTCTGTTCCTCTCTTCCTCTCTTCCTCTTTCCCGTCTCTCCCTCTTTCCTTTCTCTCCCTCTCTCTTTTCTCTTCTCTTCTTACCAACCCATGACAATGGAGGATGCTGTGTCTTGTACATTGGTAAAGTCTGTAGCATCTGGATGGTAGTTGGAAAGATCAGGATGCATGTCTACTATGTGCTTTTGCCACACCCAATTTGGATCCTGCCTGACAGAGCCTTGGGATATAAACAAATGAATTGTCGAATGCAGCGTACTGTATGTGCTGTTTACTATCCCTGTTTCGGAAGAATATTGAATCTGAATCTGCATTCTCAATTTATATATTTCTCAGCTTACTACAGCACAGAAATTTCAGATCAGGCGTATTATTGCATCAAACCCCCAACTGTACTCGCTTAGTTGGGAGGTGAAAACATAGCTAGGCCAATATCGAGAACGAGGTTCCAGATCCCAAGACCCTCGACCAGATTCCTGCATTTGCGATATCGCTCCTCACTATTTCTAGATTTTAGGTATTCCACCTCGCGTCTAGGGGTCCTGGCTGCAGTTGCGCGGTGCTGCTCGTCATCTCCGTTTCTTCGGTACCACCAATCTCGGCGTTCCTGCACAATCATCGACGCATTTCAGCCAGAGATCTGCTCCTACAATGGGTACGGGTCACCGCGCAACAGATTGGTGCTGCTATGCTACACATCTAGTCCTTTCCTTACCCATCCCCGCACTTAGCATAAAAATCAGCTCTTCCAAGCGTGTGTTCATCGCAGCTTGATAACTGAATGATCAGTTCAAACGCACATCCTGATTCCTCGTTTCTTGTCACATTTCAATCTTGGATCCTTCTCCATTTTGCGACATGCTCGTCCACTCCCCGGGTCATTAAGTCACTCTTTCAATGATCACTTCGCAATCCCTTCTTTCCCCACTCCCTCTCCGTTCACCATTCTCTCCCACCCATCCTCACCTCCCCCCTCTCCAGTTTTTCTCTTCCTCACTGACTTACCCTCCCCCCGTTCCCTCTTTTCCCTCGCCAGCCCCAGCAGTCGCTCAGCCCGCGGCAGGCGCCCGGAAGCTGACGTCACCGCAGACGTCAGCGCTGTACGCGGTGATTCTGTTTCTGATCGTGCTGTCGTTGCAGCAGGTGAACCGCTCCACGCTCGCGTCCTCCAAGCCGCTCACAATCGTCGGCGGCTTCGTCAGCGCTCTTCTCTTCCTGCTCGCGCTCACGGTCAGTAGTTGATGGGGGGAGAAACGGGTGGAGGGAGCAGGGAGGGGAGAGGGAGAGGGGAAGGTAGGGGGGAAGAGGAGTGGTGTTGGAAGGGGGGATGGGGGGGGGAGGGGGGAAAGGGTATATCGGTCAGGCAGGGTGAAGTTAGTTTGTTCGATTGGTGAGATGTCATTCCGTTGGCGGATTAAAATGTTCCGTTCAAGGGATGTGTTGCGACTTCAAGAGTTACTCTGATTGGAGATCTCACACGATTTTGCGAAATTGGATGTGCTAAATTGTACTCGTGACGAGCCTCAGTGGGAATGCGTCCGGACTATCATCCATGCCAGGCACCTTGCTCGAATCCGTGCCACCACGCTGAGACTGACGCTATGCGGGCACGCCTTTGAATGAACAGGCGGAACCAGCCCACCCTAGTACATTGCCGCATTGGCAGCCACATGATTGAAACTTTCTCCTCCGCTTTCGCAAGACATCAGCTTCTCTCTCACCTCTCTTGATCCTGCCACAGCACCTCACACCCCCTCGTATTCTTTTATGTTTCCTGCTTATCTTTCGTTGTTACTTGTTTGCTTTTTACACTTTCACGCCTATCTTTCAATATCTATGTTCTTATCCGTGCATGGTTACCTGCATTTTATATGTGTTGTGCAGTTCTTTAGCAACATGCAGGAGGCCATGGGAGCAAGATCCGGATGGGGCGTTGGTAGGTCTTTCTCACTGCTGTTCTGTCTGCATTTCTCCTCGGAATTCCGCTCCTGGGGCTGTCCGTCTCCCCTCTATGATTTCCCCATCCCATCCACCTGTGTCTGGCCATTCCCGCTTGCTGTCTCCATCACATTTCTTACCTGTTTTTTCTTCATTTATAGAGCTCTTTAGCCTCGCCCCACTTTACCCCTAATTGTCCTCTTTCTTTCGCTCCCCTGTCTCCTCCCCCCCCTGCCGGCCATCTCCTCTCAACCCCAGTATTTTTGTCGCTCTTCATTGCCACGGTCGCTGCTGCTTCAGTGCATGGTGTCTGTGCCACTACATGGTATGTTGGTGATGCCAGCACATGGCGAGATGGTGCCTCTCGATTTGTTCATTTGCTAAGATACTACCAATAGCTCCACACCGCTTATTATCATTGATTCTGTCCCTCCCTCATATCTGATCTGTACCTCGGCCATCTAACACCTGACATTTCCCTTCTTGCTTGCTTCCTTGCTCTCCCTTATATCCTATGCAGCATTCTCTTCTCTGCTGGCCTGCTATTTGAGGTGCAGCGGGTGTCTGTCGCTGCTTACCCTTCTGCTGATGCCAAGAAGAAGAATTGAAGGATGCATGGAAGATATGGAGGCAATCTGTGTGTGTCACATAGCACACAAAATCTCAATATGGTATCGGTACATTATGACATCTGAATACCACAAGAAAAGAGAAGCTTGCATCCAGAAATAGTGGAGAAGGAACATCAGGAAATGATGCTATTTCAGTACCAGTGCCAATCGCAGGGCCCAAAATATAATGGTTGCAATGTTCCTTCTGCTGAATTTGAATGGCCGTAATGTTTCTTTTGTACTCTGGGACATAATGAAATTTCGGACGACTCCGTACGCGCTCTAAGCTTCTGACTTCAGAGACCCCAAAACGTTCGCATCATATGAAGGCACTCATCGCAGAATTCCTCGCACTTCTCGTTATGCTGCCTTCCTGACTGACACCACATCGCAGCGAGTCGCATGCGCACCGTGGTAGTCGTCAGTCCGGCCCGTTTGCGACAGGCACACGTCGCCCCAGTCAATTCAATGTCCAGCCGGACACGCTAAAAGAATTCAGCACCGACGCGACTCGGCAACCCTCCCAGCCAGGTTTGATCGACTTGACCTGACTCAAGTTTCCACCCGCACCCCACCTCACCCTACCCCACCAGTCCTCCCAAACCGCCCTCACCGCAGTCATCATCGACTGCTACGTGAGCCTGCCTCCATCGGACCATCATCCCAGCCAGCTGCCACTGGTATGGCGAGGGGGAGGAAGGGGGAGAGGTGTGGATTTTGGGGGGAAGGAAAAACGGGCTACATAGTTGTGGGGGGGACGGAGGATCTTGTAGTTAGGATTGGCATGGCGGCAAACCATCACACTCACATCACCATCACACGGTAACGCCGCACCGTGTACGTCCTCCTGCCCGCTCTCGCCCACACCTCCAACTTGCTAAGTTCCCGTACTCGAGAGAATTACTGTAGAGCCATGTTCGGTGTTTCCTTCTTACTCGCGTGGCCTCGAATGACTCGAGTGGCCACCAAAATTGGAGATAATTACTCGAGTGGCCACGCCAGGGGATTCCTGCACGCTTTTGTTTTTCCCGGCGCATTACCCTACAGGGGTTTGTAGCCCCGAAAGTTTTGGAATGATTATTGCGCGATTTTCATTATCCGAAATGTATGTTCATGACATTATATGACCGCGCCTGATTGGACGCGCATTGCCAAAAAAGGCACCACGCATGTAATTGACCAATCATGCGCGGTCATTAGATCCCGCGCATTGACGCCCGGGCATTGCAGTTTATGATCGAGGAAATATATGATCGGGCATTAATATTTGATGCTCGCGACCATTAATGGCAGCGCATGATTGGTCGATTATATGCGCGTCCAGTCAGGCGCGGTCATATAGGGTCACGAACATAAAATTTGGATATAAATGATCGCGCAATAACCAAGACAAACATTCGGGGCTACAAACCCCCGTAGGGTAATGCGCCGGGTAAAAAAAGCGTGCGGGAATCCCCTGGCGTGGCCACTCGAGTAATTATCACCAATTTTGGTGGCCACTCGAGTAATTCGAGGCCACGCGAGTAAGAAGGAATCACCAAACATGGTTCTACAGTAATTCTCTCTCCCGTACTCGCTACCTCCCTGCACACTCGCCACTTTTGCGAACCGCGCCAACGTCCTCGAGACATATACAGCGAGGATTGTGACCTACCCTTTCCCGCAAAAGCTGACTGTTTACTCTGGACCTACCGTTCCCTTGGCGGCCCAGCACTTATTTCCCATAGAGATAGATACCCCTCGTCAAGCCAGGTGCAACGCACATCTGATGTTTGAAGTTTAACGCAGGCTTGACTGGGTAAGTTGGGTGAAGCGACGCCCACTCACAGGCTTCGGGTGGAACCACGTTTTTTCCTCTGGATCTCTGGGCTTCCTCGTTCTCGCACTGCGGCGCGAAATACACGGAAGGATCGCAGATAGCGTTACGTCACATTCGCTGCGACGGCAGCTGCTCCGGTACAACTACTCATAGTAGCGTCTTCGTTAGTGCATCCTCTCCACTCCGAAGCGCTTCCGCAGGCGCGTCGACATCATTCGAACCTGTGGTATGGTGAATACCCAGAATAAACTGCTATTTATACTCTACTACTATTCTGGTAACCACGTCGCACCCTCGTCGGCGAGCGTGTTACCAGCAACTATAGTACAACGACACAACCGGCCGCTAATTGACCTGCATATACAGTGCATCTAAATTCACCTCATCGCACCGCCACGAGCTAGCACCGCCTCATCGAACCACAGCACGCGCCGCAGGAAGTTCCAGCATGCCACGTGTCACCTTACCCACGCGGCGCCCTCCCGCAACAGCCGCAGGGCGTCTCGTACTATCCGCCATACTACTTCTCGTAGTTAATCTCTTAACGCCTCAGCAGCTGCTCCCGGCTGAAGCGGCGCGGAAGAAGCCGTGGGTGGGCGTCAACTTGTCGCTCAGCCTCATGTCCAAACCGATAGACGTCAAGACGGCCATCGCGATCGTCAAGCAGCGGGGGTTCGCGGCAGTCAAGACTTTCTACCCCGTGCCCGAAGTCCTATCCGCCCTCGCAGGTGCGTCGTCGGACGACATTGCTGTCCACAAAAGCACGGTTTTGCACGTTAGCCCAACAATTGATGATTGATGTTCGTATCTTGCAACCTTTGCCAGCACGCATCACCACCTGCCCTCTCCTTCCCCTTCCCCTCTCGTGATACTTCCACTTCCTTCGTGCCTTTCTTCCCACCGCCCTTCCCCTCTCTTCTTACATTCCAATTCCTGTTTCTCTCCTCACCGCCCGTCCTCCACCGCCTTATACCCCCCTGCACCGTCTTCCCACCTCAGGCACGGGCTTGCAGGTGATGACGTCAGTGCCCAACGACCGCCTGTACGACTTCGGCAAGAGCGACGCGGCGGCGCTGGGGTGGCTGGACGAGTACATCGTGCCGCACGTGACGCGCGGCACGAACATCATCGCGATCGCGGTGAGTGTCGATGGATGGACAAGAGTGAGAAGGAAGTGAATGCGCGCTGGGGTGGCTGGACGAGTATAGGGCCCCGCACGTGGAGCGCGGTGCGAACATCATCGTGATTGCAGTGGGTGGGATGATAAGCTGTGGCGGGTGGTGGAGCGGGGGAAAGGGGGATTAGGTGCTCTGGGTTGTACCTGCGTTAGCAATGACATCGGCATCGGCATTGCAGCGAGTGTATCATCATCATCACCAACCCCCGCTTCTTGCGCGCGCGCTCTCCCCGTCCCCCCACGCCGTCTCCCCACCCCTCCCTTCACATCACAACCTCCCAACCATCCCGCTATTTCTCATGTCTAGTCCATGTCTTTCACAGGTTCGACTCAGGTGTAACGCCTCGCTGCCCACGGGGTCAAAACGAGGGTTCTATTTAGGCGCAGCGGATGCCCCTCAGAATTTTTAGAGGTAGCAGCGAATCACCAATTTCCTCCTCTTCCCCTCCCGCATCCTCCCTCGTCCCCTTTCTCTCCCCCTTCCAATTCCACCTTCCCGTCTCCCTCTCCCTCCCCCTCCCCCTCCCCCTCCCCTGCAATCCACTCCGCGCGCGCGCAGGTGGGCAACGAGCTGATGGGGCCGGGCACGGGGTACACGCTCGTGGTCCCCGCGATGGAGGCGCTGTACCGCGCGCTGCAGACGCGGCGCCTGCACCGGCGCGTGAAGGTGGTGCACCCGCAGCACATGGGGTTCCTGGCCAACACGTACCCGCCCTCCAAGTCCGTCGTCGACCCGCTGTATGTGGGCGAGATGCGCAAGATGCTCTCGTTCCTCAATCGGACCGGTGAGAGAGAGATTCAGGGGTGGGATGGTGGGTGGGTGCGGTGGGATGGGATGGGATGTGATATTAAGGTCTCGCTCAATGCCGTGTCGGCACTGTGAGCTTTCACGTGTCATTTCTGCTTGATTCGACCCGCAACGTTGCTCAAAACGCTCCCTTCCCTTCCACTCTCTCCTCCCGTCAACCACCCGCGCAGCCTCCCAGACTCCTTTTCAGTGCTCAACATCTACCCATGCATGGACACGTACAGAACATTCTAAACTATACTCGCTTAACCTTCCCAACCATCTCTCCTCAATCCCCCTTCCCCACCCGCCCCTCTCCCCCACAGGCTCGTTCACGGTGCTCAACTGCTACCCGTTCTTCCCGTTCAAGGACGCGGGCGGCAAGGTGAGCTACGACTACGCCATGTACCGCGGGTACAAGGGCTTCTACGACGGGCGGCGCTACTACCAGAACCTCATGGACGCCATGCTGGACGGCGCCGTGTGGGCGTTTGAGAAGCTCGGCTACCCCAACATGCCTTATATGAGTAAGTGCAACGCTGCGTGGTGAGGCGGGCAGAGTCAGAGTTGAGTAAGTGCGGTTTATGGTCCCGTGAATGAGTGAGAGGTGAGGGAGAGAGCCAGGTGAGTGGCGGCGCACGTCAGCGAGTGCAGCGTTGCATGGTGGGGGAAAGGGGGGGATGTGCAGTTTCCAAGCCATGGTAATCACCATGTAGCCTGCTCGTTTCTTTCTCTGCTCATCTCCTCCGCCCCTTGCCTCCTTGCCCAGCTTCGACCTTCCTCCTTCCCTAACCATCCCTCACCATCCTGTACACTCCCTCGTCCTCCCTCCCCCCTCCCTTCTTCCCCACCTCCCCTGCAGTCGGAGAGGCAGGGTGGCCCACAGGGGGCAACGCAGCAGCCACGCTCCTCAACTCCAAGCGCTGGACCACGGGCTTTCTAGCCCGCGCCAACTCCCTCCGAGGCACGCCCAAGCGCCCGGGCACGCCCATCCGCGCCTTCCTCTTTGAGCTCTTTGACGAGGATCTCAAGGACACCTCCCCGGGGCAGTTTGAGCTGCACTTTGGGCTGTATTATGCTAATGGTACGAAGAAGTATGAGCTTGATGTGCTGGGCACGGGGAGCAATCTCCCGCCGTCGAAGCCGCCCAAGATGTGGTGCGTGCGGAATCCGACGGCTACGGACGCAGCGGTTGGCGGCGGGGTGTCGTGGGCGTGTTCGAAGGAGGGGGGAGGGTTGGACTGCGCGAGGGTGGGGAGCAAGTGCGGCGCAGAGATGAAGGCGTCTGCGGTGTACAACGCGTGGTTCCAGAAGCAGGGGCAGACGAGCGAGGCGTGCAACTTTGGCGGCACGGCGCAGGTGACTATGAGGAACCCGTCCAAGGGGGCGTGTCAACTGCACGGGCGGCCGCTGGGGGTGAAGTGACGAGAGCTTCGAAGCGCGGGGAAGGATGCAGCGGTACGGGGATACACGGAGAGTAATTAGATCACCACATGTACGGTAGGTTGTGCCAAGGTGGCTATGAGGAATCCGTCCAAGGGAGCGTGCCAGCTGCACGGGCAGTGAAGTGATGCTGTAAGGAGGGAGGAGGAGGCGGCATGCTTAGGGTGTGGTTACCTACCCAGTGTACGTGGTTTTCTTCTGGAGGACTGATTACTCAAGAGAGCTTGCAAGCTGCATGGGAGATTGCAGGCGGATAAGATGGAGTACTGATGGGGTGCGAGTGAGTGAGTGATGGTGTCACTCAAGAGTGAACCACTTGACGTTATTTTAGCGCCGTCTGCGTGACAGCAGTGCAAGGTGTGCACAATAGAGTGCACGCTCACAGAGTAGGTATGTTCTTATTTGCAAGTGGGTGTTATTTAACAGCCTGTACCGCAGGCCTGCAGCCCTTGATTTTGATGGTTGATCTGTAGATGTGAACTTGTAACAAACCTGCAACAGTTCTTATGCCATCCATGAGGGGTATACTCAGTCAGACCCCCACTACAATTAAAGACCTCGGGCCCAAGATCCACATGAGCAGGAGCAGCTCCCCTTTTCCGGTGTTATCGTAAGTGATTTCTCAAACACATGGTTGTGCAATGGATTGCGCTACCTACCGTACATTATCGCCAGCCATACATATGTACGCATGGAAGAAACACAGGGATTACATGGCTGCAGTGTAGCCACAACACAACACACTGGCTAGACGCAGCTCAGAGAAACACGCAATATACAAATGCACAAACAAGCACACAAGGCATATGCATGTATGCATGCATAACACAAAAGCAACAATTCCGACCAACACACCTGCACACAAAGCCAAACATATGTACACAAAGTACCGTACATCTGTGGTATATACGGTACCTTCCACACCGCTGCTACTTCTGAACTGCCACGAATGGAGTCCACTTTCAAATGGCACCTACCGTGTGTCACAGTACTCACAGCACGCGCAGCACAGCAGTGACAGCAGCATGGTCCGACAGGTCGTAGTCTGACGGCCACGTGCCCTGCTGCATCTCAGGAGGGAACAACTCCGCTGCTTGCACTGCCAGCTCACGCGTTTCAAAACCACTCCCTACTTCCTCCTGCTGCGGCTGCGGTTGCTGCTGCTGTTGCGTTTGCTGCCCTTGTTGCCCCCGTCGCTTGGGGTTGTAACCACACTCTTCACAGTCCAAGCTGTCGCAGGTGCAGCTTCGGCATTCCTCCAATAGGCCTTTCTTCTCGCCAATGGCAGCGGTAGCAGCAGTGGCTGCGACCGTAGCAGCAGACGCGGCAGCAACAGCGCCTGCTGCGAGCACCATGGGCCCATGCCGTCCAAGCGACATGGGGAATGAGGACGACGACTGTGATAATCGCTGCTGTGGCATTCCAGAGACTGCTGCAGCATTGCCAGGGGAGGAAAGGGGACTGCCAGCAGCAATGGGAGCTGAGCCGTGGAAGAGGGCGTCCATCGTGATGCCTTGCTGCAATGCCTGCACGCCTCGCTTCAGTGGACACCTGCTCTCATGCTGCTGCTGCGGCTGCAGCTCCACAGCTTCATCAAACGGCCCCTGCAAATCCTGCTGCTCCTGCCACATCTGCCAAACCTCCTGCCTCGGCTGCTGCTGCTCCTGTTGCTCCCATTGCTGCTGCTGCTGCTGCTGCTGCTGCTGCCTGGGCTGAAGCCACGGCTGCTCGTGAATCCCAGTGGCCTTGCAGATGCGAGCGAAGGTGTCCTCCATGGACTCGGTGCGCAGCAGCCCCTTGAACGCCTCGTAGTCCACTGCCCCGCTCCCACTCGTGTCCGCCCGCTGCACCAGCTCACGAATCTCCTCCCTCGTCAGCCCCACACTGTCCTCGCCCGTTAGACCCAGCTGAGGCAGGGAGACGGAGCGGGAGGGGTGGGGGAAGGGTGGCGGGGAAGAGAGGGAGGGGGTGGAATGGGGGAGTGGAGGGGGAGGAGAAGACTAAGGATGGTGATAGGAGAGGGACGGTAGGGAGCTAGAAGTTGGGGACGGTTAATGGGATGGCAAAAAGGGGTATGAAAGTTGGTGCGGAGGATGGAGCACAGACAGACTGTCACGCAGCTCACCTCGTCCATGGCGTATGCAAATTCCTCTGGGGTGATGCAGTCGTGGCGATCCTGCTCCCCATGCTGCTGCTGCTGCTGCTGCTGGTGCTGATGCTGCTGCTGGTGCTGATGCTGCTGCTGGTGCTGATGTCCGGCTGAGTGTGTGCCGGCCGACTGGAAGAACTCGAACGCCTGCCGCTCCTCTGTTATCCCCGCCTCTATCAGCTTCGCCTGGAAACAAAACAAACACAGGAATGGAAGAGGTAGGTAGCTACACAGTTAGCTAATTCGTGAGGAATGTAAGTGAAGGGATGTGAGATACTAGTGGGAAACGGTGTGAGGATTGGAGGGTGGAAAGGCGCCAACAAGAGGTTTTCTGAGGCGTGCACACGCACACACCCACACACCCACACACACACACCCACACACGCACACACACACCCACACACGCAGACACCCACACACCCACTCACTCACACACCCACACACGCACACACCCGCACACCGACACACCCACTCACGCACACACCTTGATCATGCGAAAGACAGCGGCCTTCCAGTCGGCGGTAAGCGGGCCATGGAGCTGCTGGGAGGGGTTGAGCAGCCACACGAAGTCCACCCCCACCTCCTCGCCCCGGTGGTTGCGGTGCGACACCCACTGCACTCACGAGAGCACACGCGCACACACAGACAGACACACGGCGAGACCAGAAGACTTAGATGCGAGACATGCTGCGCTGCAAGACCCATCTTGGTTACTAAAGGTATGGTATTGGTTGCAGAGGGGAGCCGTTAGTTTGCATGCGAGACAGCAGAAGCAGCAGCACATACATTACTGTCGGTGTCGTCGCCGCTCTGCACACTGTCATAGCACGATACGAAGCCCTGCGACCGCAGGAAGCGACACACCTCGCCGTCCAAAGGGCCGTTCAGGTCGCTGCAAAAGCAGGGCGGGGGGGGGGGGGGGAGGGGGGGTGGACGACGCACCCAACACACACACACGGACAGGGAGGACGAGTGAGACAGATTTTCCATGAAAGAAATCAGGAGGTTTCCTAGTGTTTCCGACTAGTGCGTTTCCCCACCCCTCGCAAACAACTTGGAAAAAAAAAATCAGAAGGCTCGCGATCAGAAAATAGCCTGGTTAACATTCATAACAAAGCCAAGTGTTTCAGAGAGACCAAAGCGCTTCAAAGAAACGGTCTGGTTGGCTTACCCGGCGAGCAGGATGGGCAGCGCGTGCAGCCCGTGCGCGTGCTTGTACGCGTCCACGTATTCGAGGATCTTGTACACCTCGCGCAGCCGAATCACACTCGAGTTGGCGTTGTGCGGGAACAGCAGGTGCGTGTTTATCACCAGCACCTCGTGCTGCTGCCCTGCTTCTGCCGCCGCTGCTGCGGCATCGGCTGCTGCTGCTGTATCCGCCGAAACAACATCATCACCGCTGAAGTTCTCCACTGCCTGTCCCTCCCCTTCCGGGAGCTCCCCCGCGCCCGTGACGCGCAAGCGCAGCAGCTGCGCCACGCGGTCGCCGCAGTCGTGGAACAAAATCGGCTCATAGTCCACCACGCTCACCACCTCGCTTCCCGCCGCCGCTTCCGCCGCACTTTCCGCGCCTCTGGCGCCGGCGCTCGTGCGGACGGCGGTGAGCAGCCCGTCGCCGCGGGCGTTAGTGCGGGGCAGCTTGTAAAGCGTATAGCCGCTGGCCTGCAGGTGCGACTCGTACATGCGCTCCAGGTCGCCGCCGTCGAACCAGAACTCCTGCAGGCACACCACGGACGACTGCAGCGACAGCAGCAAGTCCACTATGCGACGGTTGCGATCGCGCCACAGGTGCTCGCACGCGCTCTCGCGCTCGCCCTGCGCGACGAGGACACACGAGGAATGGGGGAAGGAGGAGAAACACGGGGCGAGAGAAGAACTGACGCGGAAATCAAATCAATCGTAATCCGCGAGGAAAGAAGAATAACAGAAGACTGTAGATCGCAGCGGCGCGACTTGACCGCCACTTCAGACTGCTTTACCTCGCCGCCGAGCCGCTTGTAGATGGGCGCGAGGATGTTGAATGTCGTCAGCGACAGCGTGGACGACGCTGGCGCCGCTGACGTGGCTCGCGACACGTCAGCGGCACGGGCTGCGGCAGCGGTGTTACCGCTCGCGCTGCATACGACGCGAAGTCCCGCCGGGAATGTTACTGGCGAAGACGACGACGGCGGTCTCACGCCTGCCGGTCGTCGCTCATCTCGCCGCCGGCTCGATGGAGTAGTGAACTCGAACGTGCATGTTTGACACGCCGCCGCCGCCGCGGCGCCGGCGCTCGACGCAAGCGACGCGCTCGTTTGACTGAAATGACTCGTATTGCGGGCGCGACGGATTGCCGGCGAGTAATGTTGGGATTGCACCAGTTGCGAGGGGACATGGCGGCTCAGCCTCGCGGCGTTACCGCTCTGTGCGCGGCTGCTCCCCGCGCCGCTGATGATGACCCCGCCGATGCTGGCCGCACTTGCCGCGCATGACTGTGCCGCAGCTAACGACGTCGATCGCACTAAGGCTGTTGCCGACGCGCGGCGGCAGTTGCTGGCCTCCACAAGCGAGTGACTGCTGCTGGACCAGCAAAGCGACGCGACGCTCGCAGCGCGCGCGTCGGGGGTGGCGGGGCGGACAGTGGCAGTGATGGCCGCAGAGAGGGGCGCGGAAACAGCAGCTACGGGTACGCGGGCGACGCCAACGGAACTCATGGTGAATTACTAGTAGAGCGAATTACGACCTGGGTACGGCTCTTGTTTGGATTCGAAAGAGGATGTGTTAACGAAGAGAGCCTGCCAAGTGTCTGGTCGCGAGACAGAGTGATAAACAGAGATCAGGCTGGTCTATGGGATGGCCTGCTACTGGTTTTAGAGCGTCGCACTCAGTTCTTGCGGTCACTGAATCTCATCGACGACCTTACTGCTAGAGCTGGCAATGAAATTGCCCGAGTAATTTCGTTGAGGGCGTGGCTCCGTCCGTACCAAGCTTGCTTGCTGTTATTTTCTAGTATCAGCTCGCGAGCGAGTGACATGACATGGAGAATGATTATCGACCGCCCAATGTTTTCTTCATCATTCCTCCCAGTTCAAACGCTCAGTTGAGCGTGGTAATTTTGGGAGAGAAGCTGGCATTTGGTTTATCACCACAGCACGCAACCAATTTGCTGCCGCCTACCAACCAAACCAGCTGCACCGCGCTCCGCCCCGCACGGCTCGTCACCACATCACGCATTTCCACCAGCCATCTCCAAGATCCATCCCTTCACAATCAGAACGACCACGAGGACACCCTTCACTCCCTCATTCAGTATTTTTTCCCCATTCCAGTTGTGTTCGCCCAGCCCAGACCAGACGTTTCGCGTTTTGCTGCGTTGGCGCGGAATAGTGTAGCGTTGGCAGTGGGAGAAGCGCTTGTTGGTCACTCATGTAGGCTCTTCGCCCAATTCTTCCTTGCATATTCTTTCGGGGCAAAAATTCTCCCTTCATTTGTGTTCCGCCCCACCGTCTCCTCCATCTCCGTCTGCTGCCGTGGCGTGGGGGGAGACTTGCGAATGACACAGCTCACTTTTGGCTCAACGTGACGCGCGCCAAATCTTCAGTTTGCCGTTGGCTGACTCTTGCCGCATCAGCATGCCCACATTGCATAGTCATTTGACGCACGTCATGATGGATGGTTCAGATGGAAAAAATGCGTTTCTATTCTCAAGGCGCCCGCGGCGCGAGCAGGGGTGAGCCCTGCCCTCACCATGATGCCATCGTATGATTTGTTCCTCACCTGACTTCAGGTCAGGTGTCATGTCCAGCCCATTCGAATCATAGGTGCTGCGCGCAGTTTCATGTACAGCATGCATATGGTCACTCACTCAGTGTCCATGCAGACTGGGTGAAGCGAGGCGAGGTGAGGGCACATACACTGTACTGTAGGACTGTAGGTATCCGGTATGGTACCCTACACCCGTACGCAGTGGGGTCTGTGGATACTGACGTGGCAGTTACAATAGGAGGGGTGGGGTGATCTACCGAGGGCAAGCAACCAGGTCGGTCATCGCTTCCACCCCAGCAGGAGCTGTCAGCTGCCACGTGCCATCGAAGATTTCTATTAGAACTTCGAATCATGATACACGCCAGCGCTGGACTTTCCACCACCTTCTCACGAAACCCACAGGCGGACGGGAGGTGGTTGCGAAAGGAGAGTTCGTTGTACCTTTCCAACGTGGATTATTTTCTACATTTCTGAATGGTAGGAGCTGACCGCAGCCACTAATCGTGATGCAGGCTCCCGAGTCTTCGTTCACATCCACGAAAATCTTGGCACCACAATCTGTCCACAAGCAATCAACTAATAGGAAAAAAGAAATGGGTACAGCACGAGGAGTCAACACAGCGCTAAGGAGGAAACGTGTGGGTGCAGCAGCACGACGGCTAATGAAGCAGGCTTATTGTTGTGGCTAGCCTTGACCAACTGGATTTCCAGCCCATCGACGCTGCGCGTGCGCGAGAAGGCATCTTGCAATGATGCGTTCTTGATTCGGAAGCTACATCAATACGAAGGATACATCATATATGCAATAAAAAATGGGAGCATCAGTATCATTTGCTCCAAAACTACCCACCACAGCCACATATACTCAAACACCAATCAATATCGCATTTTTAGCTATCCACCCAAGACCCAACATCAAAATTCCCCACAGCAGCAGCAGCAGCAGCAGCAGCTCCACCACACCAACATCAGAGCTTGCAGAGGTGCAAGATGCGAAGTAGCAGCAGAAGCAGAGGCAGCAGCAAGTGTAGTAAGCAGTCACGTAAACTGAGAGGGAGGTGTGGTGGTGCTCTGCAGGGCTTCTCCCCGCCACACCATCCACCTCTTAGGCCGGCTCTTGAGCAGCAGCCAGCGCAGCAGCCTCTCGTCCTTATTCAGGTGCTCCAGCTGCTGGGCTAGCGATGCCGGCGCGTTCACCTCCAACTGCACAACCTGGCCCTGGAGGTTTTGGGGTTCGGGTGTAAGGGACGACGGTTGGAGTGAGAGGAGGGGGAACAAGGGAGGGTATGAGAGTTTGAGTTTGAAGGATTAAACATACAGCAACTGCTTTGCCAGCACATGTAGCACTGGGGTGAGCAGACGGGGTGGGAGTTGTGAGGAGTTGTCAGGGAGCAGACTGGGTGGGAGCTGTAGCAACTGCTTTGCCTACACATGTAGCATATGGAAGGCATGATGACTGCTCTACCTGGGCTTAAGGGATACGAAGGGAACAAAGGGAGGGAGCAAATTGGAAACGAATTATGAATGGTGACAAATACATTCGGTACAAGCAACAACTTCCCTGTGGTGGAAAAGAAGGGGAGCGGTGGAAGGAACGTCATGATGGGAAGGGAACATAATTAACAGCAGCAAAAGGGCTGACGATGGGAGGAGCGCACAAAGGAGGAGGCAGGTTTAGAAATCATCCGAACTGGACTACTTAAAACGGGAGGCAGCGGGTAGAGTTTAGGGTTACAAAATCCTAAACCTTTATAATCCCAAGTCCCAAACTCCTTGATCCTGTTGATATGCTTGCCTTAGCCCTTAATGGCGCCCCACCCCCCCTCCAACCTCCACCCCACCCCCCCATGGTCCTCTCCTTCCCCATTGTCCCTCTCCTTCCCCATTGTCCCTCTCCTTCCCCCTTGTCCCTCTCCTTCCCCTTCCCTCTCCTCCCCTTGTCCCTCTCCTTCCCCCTTGCCCCTCTCATCCCCTTGTCCCTCTCTCCCTCTCCTTCCCCCTTGCCCCTCTCCCCCCCGTTGTCCCTCTCCTTCCCCCATGCCCTCTCCTTCCCCCATGCCCTCTCCTTCCCCCATGCCCTCTCCTTCCCCCTTGCTCCTCTCCTTCCCCCTTGCTCCTCTCCTTCCCCCTTGCTCCTCTCCTTCCCCCTTGCCCTCTCCTTCCCCCTTGCCCTCTCCTTCCCCATAGTGCCAGACGTCTCCCTCGGCCTGGCATAAGACAGCAGGGCATCGCGGTGTCGGCAGCACAGCAGTGCCCACTGCTCACCTGCTGGTGCCAGCCGTCTCGCTTCTTGACGTCGTATGCCAGGCGCACTGTGCCGTACGACTTCACCGCCATCACCCCCAAACCCCAAGCCATGGTGACAGGGCAGCACGGCGTGGGCACGGCAGTGCTAGCCATCTCACCTGCTGGTGCCAGCCGTCTCGCTTCTTGACGTCGTATGCCAGGCGCACTGTGCCGTACGACTTCACTGCCATCACCACCCCGCCGTCACTGCGCAGAGGTTGAGGTGCGAGGGGTGAGTGAGGGGCGATTGGCAAGGGGCGAGGGGTGAGGAGCGAAGCGGAGGAGAGGGGGGAGAGAGAGGGGTGAGTGGGGGGCGAGGGGCGATGAGAGATGGGGGATACGGAGGGTCGAGGGGATATGGGACGGGGGAGAGGGAGAGAAAAAAATGGAGAGGGAAGAGGGGAGAGGGGAGAGAGGAGAGGGTAGAGGGGAGAGGGAAAGCGGAGGTGGAGAAACCAGGCAGGAAGAGTGGTTAAGAGAAAGTGTGCATCTTGATTGGTTGTTGACTCTCTGTGACAGGGGCGGCCATTGCAGCATGCAACCTTTAACACGGCTATCACCAACATGTTGACCTTACTGCAGAGGGGGGGGGGGGGGGGGGGGGGGGGGGGGGGGGGGAGGGGGAAAGGGATGGGGAGGGTGGGGCAACATGCGCAGACAACCAGAGGAGAGAGTGGGTATGGCAGGGAGAGAGGCAGCAGGGAGGAGAGGGTGGTGGAGGAACTGGGAGCAGGAGGGGACAGTGGAGAGTGGTGGAGAGGCGGGAGAACGATGGCTGTTGGGAAGTGGAAGAGGTGGGAGGAGCGAGCAAGGAGATCGAGAGTGCAAGGGGCAGAATCGTTGACATATTTTTAGAGAAACCAAACACTTGTCCCGTGCAGTGAAAGCATGCGATCGCTCATCCCACGTGTGTGATGCCTCGTGCCGCTGAACCAAACACTTGTCCCGCCGATTCTACCACCATCACGCTAACCCAGTCGCACAGTTGATCAATTGTCGCACGCACCTAATCGTTCGCCACGCACCTGCTCGCCCATCGCACGCAACTTATCGCTCGTCGCACGCACCTGATAACTCGCTGCGCCAGCCCTCGCACAAGATCCGCGAGCTCCCGCCGTTGCACCGCCGCCTTCGCCATCACCAGCACCTCGTACGGCGGCATCTGCGCGCGCGCGCCTTATGCGGCGTGGATCGCGGCGAGTGAGAAGCTTTTGAAAGAGGAGAGGAGGGAGGCGAGAGGAGGAGGATGCGAATTAGCTCAGGGGGATGCGTGCACCGAGGGACCTATGGAGGCAACGATGCCGGCGGAGCGCGGAGGAGACGGGGAGGGTGGCGTTGCGAGGGGCGCGGCGATAGAATTAGGGTACCGCGAGGGGGAGGTGGGCGTGTGTCTGGGATGGGAGGGAGGAGATGAGACGAAACAGAGGAATGGGCGCCGAAGCGCCGGATTTGGGTGGATGCAGCCGGGCGACGATGGGGAGTCGTTGGTTGATGGCGTAACGGCGAGACAAGGATGCGGCGGATGATGGACAAGTATTCGATTTTAGGAGTTTCTAGGCGCTTCAAACAAGGGAAGTGCTTGGTCAAACATATCGCTTTATCGAGTGAACCGATTAGTTTTACATTGTTATCTGAGTACAGCTGATACAAAGAATATGAGCAGGAAGGGCTAAGAAATGACGAATCACCAAACTCCTAACCTAGGTTGAAACCCCAACGAGGTATCTAGTGTAAGCATATAAATCTTCATATAAGTTGATGACCTCCCTGTGGCTGTTTTTTTTTTTTTTTTTTTTTTTTTTTTTTTTTTTTTTGGCAATGCAAGATGCACTATCATAGCGCATACAAGCATTAACGGGCGTAACTGTAGCTGATGGGCCTAGACAGCAGCCTGCCGTCATACCCATCCTGACATCTTATGGGGGACGGAAAATCGTGCGCGGATTGGCCCAGATGGAGGTGAAGCCACTGGTCGACGCAAGCGATTTAGCCGAGCTGTCACATACTCTGCTCATGAGACGAAATTTGTACGGATCCAACCGCCCCAGGATAGAACGTTGCCCCGGCCCCAGCATGACTCCTGCCCGTTTCCTTCCCTTTTTTGCCCGAAGGTAAACTTTCGTGTGAGTGTAGAAAGCTGCCGCAATTTTTCGCAGCACCCTTCTGGACCGAAACCGCCCTCTCTCAAAGGCAGCGTAACATATCTCCACCCATATCTTGTGCAAGGCGATGGCGGTGATCGTTGCCTCAGAGAAGCCCAAACCCGAGCTCTCCTTCTGATACAGCAGATCCCCCAACGAAGTGATTTTCCTGTCCGGGTTGATCAAGCGGAGGGCTTTCAGTAGCCCCTGCACCACAAGTTGAATATGAGGACAGCCGAACAAACAATGCTCTGCTGTCTCTTCCCCTCCACAGTGCGGGCATGCCACCCGCTCGAGGAATTTCAACCTCACCCAGCCCTGGAGGTTACGACAATGCAGGTGAAGCAGGACGTCACGGGCTCGGTTCGGAAGCACCGCAGATTCCCGCACCCTGATGACTCTTTTCCAATCAATCGCTTTCCCCCACTCCTCTGACCACTTTTCTTGCTGCTGCATCACCCCCTGCTGCACGCCGAAAAACAATCTCAGCTGCTTGAAGGGAGGGATCCGATCCTCCGTGCAGAGCTCCGAGCAGCGCAGCCATACCTCGGGCAAACCGCACGCACCAATCACCCTTCCGCTCCTCACTATCAACGGCTCCACCTTATCCAGAGCAAGAACCGCAGTTGCCTCCGCAGACCCCACCAGGGGCACACCGAAACAGTCACATGCGCGGCAGGCAAGTCCTTCTTGCACCACCGTCTCCGCCCTCCAGACTCCCACAACACCTATTTTCTTCACATATGACGACTCCGCTAAAAACTCCGCCCCCGTGATTGGAGCCAATAGTTTCGCCTTCCAAGAAGCCGGGACACTACCGAAAACTTTAAGCGCCCTCCGCGCTTTCTTGAGCGTGCCCAGCTCCTTCGTCAGCATCCTCTCATCCTTGAAGAAAAAAGTACCGTCATCCGTCCGGCCGACGAAATCGCCGAGCTTCAACAGCTCCAGCCCCTTTGTCGCCGCCTGTCGTCCTAATGGCTTCTTCCCATTAGGCAGGACCTGCCGATTGAACACCAGCGGCTTCTGCGCGATATGTCAGAATATTATGCTCTAGCCTGTAGTGGGGTGCTCTATAGCGAGTACAACCCTTCTAGGGTTTGCTATTTGTATCCTCATTCTTGCTAGTGCAACCTCCTCTTCTTCTTTTTAAACTTTCACATGCTATCAGAGCAGGTCGATCCCCTTGGATCGATCCTGTGGGTGGTCTTACCACCTCGTTGCTTCCGCTGCAACTTCCACTGCTACCCTCTGTGCCGCACGCCCCGTGGCGTGCGGCAGTTTTTCTTCCCGCCGTGCGCCCCGAGGCGCGCGGCGGTTTTCTGCCCGCCGTGCGCCCCGTGGCGCGCGGCGGTTCTCTGCCCGCTGTGCGCCCCGAGGCGCGCGGCGGGCTTCTGCCCCGTCACTCGGCGCGTCGCCCTCGGGAGGCGCTGCGACGGGCGACGGGGACCCGCGCGTCGCCCCCCGTCGCCCGTCGTGGCCTGCGCGCGGCCCGTACAGGCTGCGCGCGGCCCGTACAGGCTGCGCGCGGCCCGTAAGGGCTGCGCCAGGCCCGCGCGCGGCTCGGGCCGCCTGCGCGCGGTTCGGGCGGCTGTGCCAGGCCCGTGGGCGGCCCTTTCCTCGCTGCCCCTGCCCTCCCCGCTGTCCCCCGTGCTTCTACTGGCGCCCCACCCCTCCTACAGCCCGTTCTCCTGAATTAGGGTTTGGGGGTGAGGGGTATGGGGGTGAAGCCACTGTGTGCCGTTCCCTGCTCCTCCTCCTCCTCCGTCTCCCTGTGCTGCAGCTGCCGCTGAGGGGGGGTGGACTTGTTGGAGCCGTTGGAGTGGTACTAAGGGGGGGTGAAGGGGGAGTGGAGCTAGCGGTGTAGCAGCGGGTGTGTGAGAGGGGTGTTGGGCAGCTGGGGGAGGTTAAGTGGAGGCAGCAGTCTTGTCGTCAGCAGCACCAGCAGTCCGGAGGCTACAATCTCCGGTAGTCGCCAGTCGCCTGTGGGTCAGTTGTTCGTCTGCCGCTACTTTTAGCTGCGGAGCCAGTTACTCCTGTAGTCCGGGCCTTTGCTTCGGTAGCCACTGAGCCAGCAGCTCGTCTGTGTGTCTGCAGCGTCAGCAGTCGCCTCCCATCTTCTCTCCCCCACAGTCTCTCCTCCTCCTCACTTGCCCTCTGTGACTACCACTAGCTTTGCTCATAATTGTGAACTTTAAACTATTGCTTCTTGAACTTGTGCTCAGAATGTGTGGTGACATTGTGATCCACCCTGAGCTTGTACTGCTTTACTTGCTCTGCTGATTACACCCCACTTTGGCTATGGGGGTGTGTCAGAATATTATGCTCTAGCCTGTAGTGGGGTGCTCTATAGCGAGTACAACCCTTCTAGGGTTTGCTATTTGTATCCTCATTCTTGCTAGTGCAACCTCCTCTTCTTCTTTTTAAACTTTCACACGATATCCCAATGCGAAGCCGTGCCCTTCTTTGCTATGCTCGACCTTATGAACATCTCGCAAGTCTGCTTCCATCTGATGCTTCGACCTTTCAACGCTTTCAGGAACTCTGGGTGCGCCCAGAAAGAGCGGAAGCCAGCAGGAAGGTCAGTCGCCTTTGTTGCCAACCATCTACGAACACAGCTCGTGTTCAACACCAGCTTCCCCATTCGTCTAGCAGCCAGGCCGTTGAGTTCAACGAAGGGGTCCCTTACCCCCAGCCCGCCATCTTTCCGAAGACCAGCTCTCCGCTCTAGAGCATGAAGTAGCGCTCCTCCGACGCCATGTTGCCAACTTCATGATCCGCTTCCACACTTTTTCTGACGGAGGGTAGACCTGCCCAAGATCGGACAGATATAAGCGTTGACAACCGCCACCCTCACCGTTGTAGTTAAGTGCTGTGACTGCCATTTCACTAGCTCCTCAGCCGCTCTGGCCAACACCTTATCCCATGCGACTTCTGCACTTCCCGATGGAGAGACCCAGACCCCCAGAAGCCTTTCTGCATCCTTTGGATCCACCCACGCGAAGTCTGATCCCTCGCTTTTCTTTTATTGCAGGTTGTTCCCCAGCGGGAGCAGCGCTGATTTGTCCTTGTTAACGCGGAGGCCAGAGCGGGCCCCAAACTCCTCTAGCAGCTTCTCCGCTCGACCGATCTGCCGCTTTCCTTTCAGCACGAGCGTCGTGTCATCAGCGTAGCCGAGGTAAGCCAGTCTATCGCCATAGTCGTCACAGTCACCTAACTTTCTTGCGCTTTGCCTCCTGGTAGATCGGCTCCACCGCACACAAGAAGAGGTAGGGGACCAGTGGGCACCCCTGCCGAACCCCCTTGCGAACATCGACCCGGTCTCCCAACCATCCGTTAACCAGGAGCCGGGTGAAAGAGCCCCCATGCAGACCCTCGCACCATCGAATGAATTTATCTGGGAAACCCATCAGTGCCATTGTGTCGAAGAGGAACGTCCGCGACACGGAGTCGAAAGCTTTCTTAAAATCAATCGTCAGCAAGTATCAGTCCTCCTTATCATTGTTCGCAGCTTCAATCACATCAGCAGCTGTCGACACCGCATCAGATAGCCGTCTGCCCGGAAGGAAGCCATGCTGTTCTTTAGAGATAACCGTATCCAACACCTTCTTCATGCGGTTGGCCAACAGCCTCGCAAACACCTTGTAGGAACCTCAGCAAGGTAATCGGCCGGTAATTTTGCACCTGCTCCTTTGGCCCCTACTTATGCAGCAGGATGGTCACCGCCTCCTGCACTTCCTCCGAGAGGAACGCCGAGGATTCAAGCTGTTTGACGAAGCCCATGAATCCCCCCTCAGCAGGTCCCAGTGGCGCTCGAAAAGTTCTTTCAGCAGCCCGTCGCACGCCATATCCTTCACAGCCTTCCTTACTTCTTCCTCCGACCAATCTGCCTCCAGACCAGCTATCTCTTCCTCCCAAAGCGTTTTTAGCAGGTCCGGCTTCCAACAAGGTAGGCCCGACGGAGGATTCTCCGCAAACAGCGCAGTGTAGAAATCGGAGGTGGCCTCCAGGTTGCCCTTCGTACCTCTCTGCACCACCCCTTGCAAGGAAAAAGCGGTGATCATCGTCCGCGTTTTCTTTGACTTCACCTTCGCCGAGAGGACTTTCGACGCAATCTCACCCTTTGTTTCCTCTTTCACCCTGCCCAAGAAATACAGCCTTTCGTTCTCCCCTTTCAGATATGCAGCCAGCTGTGACTCCTTTCCCGCCAGGATCGCACGGAGGTCATCCCAATGGGGGCCCCTCATCAGCTC